TTAAATAACTTGCTCAAGGTCACACAGTAAGAAGTCTAAACAAAGTGGAAGGTAACTACGGAATTGTGGGAAATGAGACTGGACTGGATGAATGGAAATTCGTAATGCAGAATCCTGAAAAATCAGGTAGAGGGGTCTGCACTTGACATAATGTGCAACACAGACACCTGTATTTTCTTAAACCAGGAGTGCAGCGAGATGATGCAAATGATGACCCAAGATTTCAAAAGCACGGACCAAACAGAGAGGTGATTTCCCAGCCAATAAATAAAGCAAAACCAACAAAGCTCGACCTAGGCCTTAGGTCATCAGCACAGTGATATCAGCACTGTAATCAAATCAGCTCTGTGCTACCAGTGATCCAAATGCTACCAGTGATTCAAGCTACGATTTCACAAAAGTGCTGCTTTGCCCAAATGACCACAAACACACTCAAGTCACAGAGTATCATATTTGAAAGGAACCTAACACAGGAAGGACAATGCATAATTAGTGCATGTGATGCAGTTCATTTAAAATTGAAAATGACAAGTGAAACCACATGTCATCTTTGCCTACTTAATCAGGAAATCAGCCCACTGGCTTCCTCCTATCTTTGCTTGAAATTGAGTTATAACTCCCTGTGCTCTACACAATATGAGGCATTAAGACATCTCTTCCTGGAATACTTGACTGGAGAAAAAAATATGAATGTTATTTCTCTTTGGGGCCAATGGATCCATCCCAGGTGCACTGTTACAACTTCATTTCCAAATCATGGCCCCTTCTCTGTCACTCAGAACATTCCATGCTCTCGGAAATTTGTCCTTAGCCATTCCAAGTTACTACCCCACTAAACAAGTCAATATTGTAATGCAAGAATCCAAAGAACAGCCTCTGCCTCTTCTAGAACAAATATAAAGGAGGAAAACTCTCTTTCACGTAAGTTTTAATGAATCTGTGTTTTGGGATCAAGAGAACAATCGATGTTTACACACGTACTGCATTTTGCAGACTCTGGCTGACAGAAGCTGATTTATCCATTGATTTTTATCAGGAAGATAAATTGTTTTTTAAACCCAGCCAAATACTCACAGTATAAATGCCCATGTATGCCAGGCCTTTCTTTATTTAATAAAATGTCAAGAGGTACCTTATCTACCTTTTATGAAGTCCTAAATGAGCTGTATGTATGGGAAATTTTTTTAAAGGCAGTTTTTATTCTTGAGAAGTGACTGTAACCACCACTAAATGACAGGTTGTTGGCAACAGGATACGGTGAAACCAGACCGACATCAACTTAATCAAGTTATCCAATTTCACAGCACCAATGATGTGACGCATGAGAAAGACACATCCCTCAGAGTAATCCAGCCCCAAGATGTTTCATTCAAATCTATCCATGGGGATACAGTCAGAGAATTCCAAACTGAGGAACAGTCTTCAAAACAACTGGGTTAGATTCAGACTCTTCAAATATCAATGTCATCTGTCAGAATGCCAATGTCACAAAAAGAAGCTAAGGAAATTTCCAGAGAAAAGAAAATTAAAGAAACATGACAACTAAATGCAATGTGCAGTTCTTCACTGGATCCTGAATTGGGAGGAAAAAGAACACTATTAGGACAACTGAAAAAATATGAGTTTACATTGTTTGTCTTAGTAATAGTAGATAAATTAGCGCTAAGTTTCCTGAGTGTGATAAGGCAATTAGAGCTACACAGAATGCCCTGTTTTTTCAAGAAGGGGTGAAATGATCTGATATCTACGACTCTCTAACGGTTCAGTTAAGTAAGTGTGTGCACCTGTGTATGGAGAGAAAGCTTATGCCTGTAAAAAAGAAATAAGGGAATGCCAGGCATGGGGGCTCACACCTGTTATCCCAGCTATTCCGGAGGCTGAGACAGGAGGAAGCTTCAGCCTGGAGTTTAGGTCCAGCCTGGGCTCAAGTGTCTCTAATCAAAAACAAAGAAAGGAAGAAAGGAAGAAAGAAAGGAAGGAAGGGAGGGAAGGAAGTAGGGAGGGAAAGAGAGAGGGAGGGAAAAGAAAAAAGAAAAGAGAAAAAGAAAAAGGCAGCAAATATCCGAATCAAAATGTTAACAAGTGGTGACTCTAGGTAACGAGTATACAAGTATTTGTGGCACTCTTTTTGCAGCTGTTTCATAGGTTTAAAATTTTTCATGCTAAGAAGTTAAGGAATATGAAAATGTGAAACTATGGCCAGGTGCGGTGGCTCACGCCTGTAATCCCAGCACTTTGGAAGGACAAGGCGGGCGGATCACGAGGTCAGGAGATCGAGACCATCCTGGCTAACACGGTGAAACCCCGTCTCTACTAAAAATACAAAAAATTAGCCAGGCGTGGTGGCGGGCACCTGTAGTCCCAGCTACTCGGGAGGCTGAGGCAGGAGAATGGCGTGAACCCGGGAGGAAGAGCTTCCAATAAGCCGAGACTGTGCCACTGCACTCTAGCCTGGGCAACAGAGCAAGAGTCCGTCTCGATAAAAATAAAAAATAAAAAAAAAAGAAAATGTAAAGCTAAAATAAAGAATGCCATAAGGTTAAAAAAAAACAACTGTAACTTATAATTGAGGATGTAAAATACATTTTCCCCCAAAGTTGTTTTGTTTTTTTTTTTTTTTTTTTTTTTTGAGATGGAGTTTCGCTCTTGTTGCCCAGGCTGGAGAGTAATCTCAGCTCACCACAACCTCCACTTCCCGGATTCAAGCGATTCTCCTGCCTCAGCCTCCCAAGTAGCTGGTATTACAGGCATGAGCCACCACACCCGGCTAATTTTGTATTTTTAATAGAGACAGGGTTTCTCCATGTTAGTCAGGCTGGTCTCGAACTCCACCTCAGATAATCTGACCGCCTTGGCCTCCCAAAGAAGTGAGATTACAGGTGTGAGCCACCACACCGGGCCTCTAAAAGTTTTTTACAGGTACTAGAACTTACTAGACACATCTAGCAATTATAAATGTACAAGCTGTTGATCTCTACAAAGCAGAACTGTCTGCTCTACAGCTAACACTTCAGTATTATGTAATATATTCACACGCAATCAGACTTCCAGAAACTGCTTACCTATACAAAAACTTCATATTCTCCTGTAGGACTTAAAATAGTACTCATTTTATTTACATGTGTTTAAAGCAAATACTCCAAATGCATTTTAAAGACTGTCTAGAAAAAAGTTCAGGGACTTGTGCTCACAGAGGAGAGACCATGTGAGAACACAGCAAGACGTATGCAATCTGCAAGCTAAGGCAAGAGGCCTCAAAAGAAACCAAACCTGCTACACCTTGATCTTCGACTTCCAGTCTCCAGAACTGTCAGAAAATAAGCTTTTGCAGTCAAAGCCACCCACTGTGTGGTGCTTTCTAAAATCAGCCCTGGCAAATTAACATGGCAATGCTTGAGTAAAAAAACAAAACAAAAACAACTGTCTAAATCAATACCACAGGCAGGCAGTTACTTAATTTCCTCAAGTAACGAATTAGATGACTGAAGCTGACGTTCTATTTGACACTTAACTTGTAAAATTTGCTTAAAATGGTGAGTCAATTAAATGGATGTAAACAACTAGTTGGGGAAACTGAATTCCAAATAAACAGAACAAAAAGATCTCTCAGTGAACTTTCCTTAGAAGCAAACACATACACAAATGGCCCATGCAAACAGTGCCTATTATTTATTTATTTTTGAGACGGAGTCCCACTCTGTTACCCAGGCTGGAGTGCAGTGGCGCAATCTCAGCTCACTACAATCTCCACCTCACCGGTTCACGCCATTCTCCAGCCTCAGCCTCCAGAGTAGCTGGGACTACAGGTGCCCGCCACCACGCCTGGCTAATTGTTTGTATTTTTAGTAGAGACGGGGTTTCACTGTGTTAGCCAGGATAGTCTCAGTCTCCTGACCTCGTGATCCGCCTGCGTGGGCCTCCCAAAGTGTTGGGATTACAGGCGTGAGCCACCGAGCCCGGCCAAACAGTTCCTATTAACTGCCACACAGTTAACTCTTACGCAGGCAATGATTAAAAGAATTGTTCAAATTCTCCTATGCCCAACCTATGCTATCAAGTCACGCTCTGAAAAACTAAACTCTGGTACAAGCAAACTGGGCAGCTTCTGAAATCAATGAACAAATTAACCTGTAGCATTCTCTTGGGATCTAGCACATGGGTATCCTCTTTTCAGTCCTGTTACTGGGTTGTTATAGTACCTATTACCTACCTTTTATAAATATCAGTATTTTCGGCTGTAAAAGGAAAGAAATCCTGACACTACCTCAAAAAAATGGTACAGAGGATAGTGTCCACTTTGCTAATTATACATATTATGTTCAAGAATAAAAGAGTGGACACAAACCTTTCTAGCATATCAATGATCATTTATAGACAAAGCCAAACAGCAAATACCTTATATATAGACATACCTAACTTTGCTATATAAATATTTTGCATGGTGGCGCATGCCTGTAGTCCCAGCTAGTGAGGAGGCTGAGGCAGGAGAATTGCTTGAACCCAGGAGGTGGAGGTTGCAGTGAGCTGACGTCACACCATGCACTCCAGCCTAGGTGATGCAGCGAGACTCCATATTAAAAAAGAAAAAAAAGAAAAAATTGTAACCTTTTACTTGAGGAAAATACATTTCCAAGTAATGGTCAAGAAGTTTTTATTTTTAAATTGTCAATCAAATAAAGCATAAATATTCCTCCCCTTTAATAAATTTCTGGGCTGGGCGCAGTGGCTCATACCTGTAATCCCAGCACTTTGGGAGGCAGAGGCGGGTGGATCACCTGAGGTCAGGAGTTCAAGACCAGCCTGGTCAACATGATGAAACCCCATCTCTACTAAAAATACAAAAATTACCCAGGCAGTTACTCTGGAGGCTAAGGCAGGAGAATTGCTTGAACCCGGGGGGCGGAGGTTGCAGTGAGCCAAGATTGCGCCATTGCACTCCAGCCTGGGTGACAAGAGCGAAACTCTTTCAAAAACAAGAAGAAATTTCAGGTATTAATTATTATTATTGGTACTATTATTATTATTCTATACTATTTACTTAGTAGGTATTTACTCAATAAGAATTTTTAAAGTAGCAAAAACTTAGGGGAGTTGTTCATTGTGCCTCCTCACTTCAGGTTCTGGGAGTGTCTGATGAGGTACAATATACAGTCATCCCCTGGTATTCATTGGAGATTGGTCCCAGGACCCCCACATACACCACAATCTGAACATGCTTGTCTCCCAGAGAGCCTTGCAGAACCAGCAGCTAGGAAGTCAGTTCTCCACATACGCGGTATATTCTCAACCCTCAAATATCGTTATTTTCATTCTCTGCATTGGGTTGCAGATTTGGAACCTGCAGATAAGGAGGGCCAACTGCATTTATTTTTTAATATCTGCGTATAAGGAGATCCATGAAGTTCAAGCTCGTGTTGTTCGAGGGTCAAATGTATCTGCAACTCAAGGTTCTGCTAAAGATCCCACGGAGCAGACTTCCAAACGCCACACCTCCTGTTGAAGACCAGGTAAGGACCAGAAGTTAGGCTTCCAGACCTTTCCACTCCAGGGCCCTTCACTCCCAAATCACATGTCTATATCAGGAAATCTCATTTTCCCATGAATTACTAGCCGCAAAATTCTGGATTGGTCACCGGAAGTCACTGACTACTTGGCAGAAGTGGACAGGCTGTTACAAGAACAAAAACCCCTTGATTCAAACCATTTCACTTGGGAAAGTCAGAAAATATACACGCCTAGCAACTAGGACGCTAGCTAATGAATTCCTATAAAGTCGGTCCTCCTTAGCCTCAGGTTCCACATCCTTAGATTCAACCAACTTCAAATGAAAAACATGCAAAAAAAAATTTTAAGAAAATGCTACATTGTTGCTGACATGTACTATGTAGTTAGGCCTAGGATGGCTGCCTCTGTACTAAACATGGACAGACTGCTTTTTGTCATTATTCCCTAGACAACACAGTACAATAACTATTTACACAGCCTTTACATTGCATCAGGTATGACAAGTTGGTTGAGAATCAGTTTTTCCTCTGCTCTCACCTGACAACAATCTATACGGAAGACTTCTGTGACCAGATGCGTGGGGATTTCTCTCTACCAATAAGCAGGCAATCAACTCTGCAGCCAACACCAGCTGGGTATCTTCCCATCCAATTCAATCCGGACACTAACTACCTGGAAACAGTGTCAGATTCCACGGGCTGAGGGCTCAGTCCCAGAAGACTACCCCTACTTCAGACACCAGTCACACAAGTCAGGGCCTCCAGAACTTCTCAATGACGGGCTTCAAGCTGCAGTTCCCAGGACCTCCTTTTCGGGTTTCATTAATTTGCTAGAATGGCTCACAAAACATTTACTTAGGTTTACTGGTTTATTATAAAGGATATTACCAAGGATACAGACGAAGTGGTGCACAGGGTGAGATGGAGAGGGGACGCAGAGCTCTATGCCCTTCCCAGGTGTACCACCCTCCAGAAACATCTACCTATTAGGCTATCTAGAAGTTCTCTTGGGCGTTTTGTAGAGATTTCATTGGAGAGAGATGATTGAAGCATGGCCAACCTCATAGTAACTGATTGGACAAAGAGTGTGATCTAATACTAGCAGACTGAGTGCAGAAACCCAGCAAGGCCGGTCCAGATTCTCCTTGGCCTCTCTGTGCGGTATTCCTTCCTCCTGGGTAAGGGGCAGGACCCCCTCTGAAACAATCAGACAAGACAGGTCAGAGATTTTCTTTATCGCCAGCTGTAAGACAGAAAGGCAGCGGATGATTAGAGAGCAAGAGACGGACAGAGCTTCTGTTTTCTGAGGCCTGCTTCTGAGGCTTACAACGTACAGAACACGACCACATGCATTTTTTTTTTTTTTTGTTTTGAGACGCGAGTCTCAGCGCGTCGGGGTCACCAGGCTGAGGGCAGTGGGCATGGATCTGGATCGACGCGAGCTCGCCTCCGGGTCATGCGATTCTTCTGCCTCAGCCACCGAGTAGCTGGGACTACGCAGGCGGCTGCCACCCACACTGCCGATCTAAGTTTATTGGCAGGGTTGGTAGAGACTGCGGGTCTTCACTGGTGTTAGGATGGCCTTGATCTCCGAAGCTTCATGATCCGTCGGTTCGCAGTCGGTCCTCCGCGAGAAATG